TGGAAAAATAGATGGCCCTGGTAAATGGCCAGGACCCTCTATTTTTTAAGCAAACCAACCAAAAAGGACACCTAGGTGGTTGCCCTTGCTTGCCTACTGATGGACACAATCCGCTTCGCACCACTTGGTAGTGGCTTCGCCAATCCCAACTGGTGCGAAGCGGATTGTGTCCATCCACAGCTTGGCATTCTCAAACTGGACCCCTGCTTTTTGTCGGGTTTGAAGGGAAACGGACACAAACCATTTTTCGGGGTCCTCCACAGCATTCTGAGACATACCCGAATAAGCGCCTAAATCAAAGACACATGTGTTCTCTTCGAACTTGCTCTACGTCCCACAAAAACCCACATGACTTCGGCCAGCGTAGTGCCCTGTAGCCTTTTGAGCCACCCTTTGGGTGAATTTGACCCCTCTTCAAAAGGAACGTGGTAGACGCCCTGAAAAGAAGCCCGGAATCCCAAAACATGGGCGGTTCCGCGAAATTGAGGACCCCCAGAGGATGATTCCAGGGGGGTGAAAAACAAGAAACCCACCAGTTGCATGGAGGGAATCTCCAGAATGCCCCCAGTCAGTTCCCTTGTGTCGAGCTCCTACCTGGGTTACAGCTGTGAAGCCTGGAAACCTTCATGGCTTCCCTATCAAACAACATTTCCGGAATTGGACGGTACAAAGGTTATCTGGCACAAACAAACTGGAAGAGTCGGGTGAGCAATAATATTTCAGCATTCCTGACGTTCTACAGTCTGCAAAAGCCGGCTGATCAGACTGCGACTAAACCATAAACGAAGCCTCAACGTGCTCTACTTGCATATCCCTGCCACGGCAGATTGATATCCTTTTGTTGTTTCTTAAAACCCTCGAGAAAAAAAACGCGGGGAAAACAAAAAAACAAGAGAGTTTCCCGCAGTTTGCAACAGACCCATGTCGGTGTGAATCAACTTGAGGACCCAAAGTGTCTCTGGTCTCCTTTTGGAGCCGTCAAAACACAAGAAAACATAACACACATGAGACCTGTCAAATCCCCTTCGAACGGAAGCTACTCAAGCAACATGGCAAAGGTCGCGTTGTGACCAGGGCTCAACGGCCCAATAAACATGTCAAGAAGCTTAGTTGAAATTGGCAACCAAAAGGTGATCATTCTAGCCACCTTAGGAAAAACATAGAGAACCGTTCATTAATTGTATGGCGCTCTGCTGAAAATGGGATCAAACATCCAGATCTTAGGCAGCCTCAAAACCTCTCCTGAACCTCTCCTTACATCCTTCCCTTAGCACCCCGCTTAAAGGAACATCACTTCAACTGGCCCCTTGAAAGAAAGTAAGTGCGTATTTGTTTGCGGCTCGGCGTTTTCGTGGGCTTGGAGGTCTCCCTTTGTATAGCCATTTGCCAATGGACTCACTTCCTTGCCCAATCTAGCCTTGCCGCTCCAATAGGTGTCCTAGGGAAATCCCCATGTTGCGTACCCAAACCTAGGGAACATCTCACCGGTTTTCGACGCAAAAACTTCGCAACTTCTTAGCTCCCTGGGGCTTCCGGCTCTTTGTCCAGCATCTCCCCGGTAAGCAAGGGCACCGCCGCCGCGATGGCCAGCAAGATCACCACCGGCACAGCGATCTGTCAGTCACCCAGTCGTCAGCGTAGGATCTGTAGGTTCCCCGTAGAAAATCAACAACGGCCCCCGTTTTCTTGGAAATGAGTAGGGCCGTGGGCAATTGGGGACCCTCGGGTGGACGCGATTTATGAAGGAATATGAACCCTGGTATGACAACCTAGTTGTTTTTGCTGTTCTGGCTTTGTGGGAAAAGGCCACAGGGTCCCCAAATGGCATGTTCCTGGAAGTGTGTGCGTGTGCCTGCCTGCGTGTGTGCGTGTGCGTGAGCGTGTGCGTGTGCGTGTGTGCGTGTGCGTGAGCGTGTGGGTGTGGGTGTGGGTTTGCATGTGTGTAAGTGCGTGTGTGTGTGTGTGTGTGTGTGTGTGTGTGTGTGTGTGTGTGTGTGTGTGTGTGTGTGTGTGTGTGTGTGTGTGTGTGTGTGTGTGTGTGTGTGTGTGTGTGTGTGTGTGTGTGTGTGTGTGTGTGTGTGTGTGTGTGTGTGTGTGTGTGTGTGTGTGTGTGTGTGTTGTGTGTGTGTGTGTGTGTGTGTGTGTGTGTGTGTGTGTGTGTGTGTGTGTGTGTGTGTGTGTGTGTGTGTGTGTGTGTGTGTGTGTTTAGGGGTTCTGCAAGTGTGTGTGTGTGTGTGTGTGTGTGTGTGTGCGTGCGCGTGTGTGCGCCCGCGTGCGTGTGTGTGTGTGTGTGCGCGTGTGTGCTTGCATTTGTGCGTGTGTGCGTGTGTAGGTGTGTGGGTGTGTGGGTGTGTGGGTGTGTGGGTGTGAAGGTGTGTGGGTGTGTGATTGTGTGCGTGTGTGCGTGCTTGTGTGTGTGTGTGTTTGCGCGTGTTTGTGTGTGTGTGTCGTGTGTGTGTGTGTGGTGTGTGTGTGTTGTGTGTGTGCTGTGTGCTGTGTG